GGCAATTGTAGTATGAGGCAGATGGAAGAAAATTTGGGGGGTATTTCTCTTCGGTATTTCTCTTCTTCTTTCTGCCAAAGGCTGGTTTGGCAATATCTAGTAGTCTTAACTGTATCCCATGCCATTTAAAATTTCAAGCAACTAACACAGATTTCTAAAGACTTAATGATGTTTGCTTTTATTTAGGTTCAGTTCCCAGGGCTATCATTTAATCAACATACCCTGTTAAAAAGCTGTCCCTCAACTCATTTCCATTTTTCCCCTTTTGTATGACCATAGCTGTGTGACAGATCCCGTTTCCGCTGCAGTTCCCCTGGGATTGACAGCCCTCATTTGATCCCATACCCAGTGGTGGCTGAAGAAAGGCATTGCTTTTGCCATGGTCATTTTGGGAGGTCTGTACAGCAGTGCACCATGGCACTTGGCCCATGTTTTTTACCCATAATAAAATCTATGCAAATAATAAAGGCCAGCTGCTACTTTCCAATACTACCCCAGTACAGTGTTTAGCCTGTAACTCCAGCTTGTGAACTTTTTGTTCCACACTAAAGTTTGGGGGAAACCCCTGCTGAAGGGTCTCTTTCCTTTTTTACTATGCTGGGGGTGGGGGGAGGGCACACAGTATAAACTCTTTGGGCAAGTTTCTCTGTGGCTTAAATTACTGGTGACCTTAGTTAAATAAGACTGGTTCCACAGTTAACCTTTCTTTTCCCCATCTGGGCTCAGTTATCATTCAAGTTCATTTTTCTCCCCCCTCAAGTTGGTTTTCCCATTCTTAGTCTGTGGCTGGCTCCCCTCTGGGAGGCTGGCAATACCGCCCAGTAACTGGAGTGAGTGCTTGATTAAAGATCACAGCTAATGACATTTGGGATGGACACGATGCTGTTGTGCTTTCATGTTTTGCTCTTTTTCTTCTAATACTTTCTTATTAGTTAAAACCTTAAGTAATGCATGTGAATTTCTTGGAAATGTTAAAACATTTCTTTTTATCTACCATACTTTAATGCCAGATTGTGTGTAGACTAGTGACCCAGAAAAGTCATTTACTGATATATGGTGTGTAATTTAGCCCAACTGGTTTGATTACATTACTGGGTATGATTTAGGCCCATAGAAGAGTCAACTAGCAATTTGATTGAAGCCACACTCTGCCTTGTCATCCAAAGACCAGAACAGAAGCCTTAATTAGCCTGGTTGATTAAGCAAAAAGCCAGTTTTAGTCAGTTACCAGGAAGACCATAACCCAAGAGTTAATGTGGACTTGAACATGATATTTTTAAAGGTATAACAGGAAAATATACATATTTTCTCTTCTGTCTTTAAAATGGTTTTGTAAACACACACAAAAAATCATTTTTGACCGAAATCATGGTGACAGCCATGGCATCAGCGTTAGGATAGTGTGGATAGGCCCTTTGAGTCATGTCTCATTGTGGAAAAGGATTGGGATTTCTGTCCTTGGAATCTAGGGCATTAAGTATTAGAGACAGCTCTCTGATAGTGTCTGCTGTCTTTGGAAAAATAACATTTTTCTGCTCATATTTATTTTTAAGAGGCTTAACATGATGGTGTAGATTATTAAAACACATCTTATTGAAGTAAAATAATTTGAGCAAAATTACACAATTTGCAACAAGAAGATATGGAATAGACAATATTTAACACAGTTACTTCCCTGTGTGTGATTACTTTTTCTATTCTTATTAGTCTTTCTACAGACCTCAATTTTATTATTGAGGTCTCTTTAGGAATAACCTTTACCAGCTTGATAATGACACGTTTTAAAATTTATCTTTTTTAATTTTTCTGAGAGATATGGTGAAATATAACCTTTTATGGGTGCCTAGTAAGAAAATAGCCACTTGGATAAAGTTATATATGGTGTGGTACAGATGAAACTTTGGTGAGCTGTTACCTTTTACAAATGTTTATTCTGGAGGCTTAACTCTAATTCATTATTTTAATTTGATTTATTTATTCAGGGGGCAGTGTATATATCAAGTATAAAAATCTTAAATTGGTCATAGTAAATGAGAGTATCTCTGATGTTCAGAAGCAGAAGTGAGAGATTTGCAAGTTCAGGGTCAGCTTGTGCTATATAATAAGACCCTATATTTTAAAAGTCTCATTACATACACAGCACAGTCTAGCTTTGAACTTACTGTATCACTGAGGCTGATCATTTAAGTCTTAATTCTCCTGCATCTACCTGAGCTCTGAAGTTATAGATGTCCATCAACAAACTCACCTTTAGACTAGAAACTCATCTATTACTATGTAATTTAGCGCTAAATTGACAGGGACAGGGGGGGCAATGATCATTGTGTTAGAGAGAGGGGCAAGGGGAGGGAGGGGGAGGGAGGGAGTGTGTTTCTCTGTGTAGCTCTGGCTGGACTGCAACTCACTATGCAGACCAAACTGGCCTCCAACTCAAAGATTGGTCTGACTTTCCTCCCAAGTGCTGGTCTTAGAGGTATGTACCAGCACCATCCAGTTTGAGATTACCAATTTTTACTATAAATATAGAAGTCTGATTATTTATCTCATAAAAGTATAAGGACATATTAGATATATTAGCAGTCTATGTCCCACAAACCTTTATGTAAATGTTCACATAATACATTTATTATCTTCAACATAATAATATTGAGTGAATGGGACATACTGGAGTATAGTACAAATAAGCACAGTGTTGGAATCAGATGACTGATTACTGTGGTTTTGTCACTTAGTTTTGTCCCATATTTTAGGAAAAATTCCAAAAAATACATCATTACAAAAAATTGCATTATTTTCCCAAAGAGATTATTAAACTTGACTCTTGTTTGTTCTATACTTGGAATTGATTGGACTCAGCCTTTCTTACCTAATTCAACCAGGGAGCCACACCTGACAATATCTTACTGTAGGAGAGGTCTTTATGGAGACTGAAGAGTTGCTGGACTACAGTAGGAGAGATCTCTATGGAGACTAGAGAGTTGCTGGACTATGTGGCTGCTCCACCTTTGTCTTGACATTTCTGATCTCATATTCTATAGCAGACAATTCATTATGTTTCAGTGTAGTAACCTTTAGCTGGTTGTAAACATACACTGGATGAATGTAAGAATTTTCAGAGGACTTTCGGTAGTAAAGATGGGAAGGGTCAAGATCCTTCCACATATCTAGCTCTGTTTTCCAAACAGTAATGATGTTATGACAAATGACAGAAGGACATGTGAGCCACAGAGAAATTGGAGCTTTGGTTCATCAGGTTTCAAAGGTATAAGACAGTATAATTTTTTTAATTTGTCTTGGATGTTTTATTAAATATTTGGGAGTGTTTTTACAGATTCAACCACACTACTAATTTTTCTCAATGGCCCCAGAATTTACTTTTTAACTAACTCTAGGATTATGGCTATTAATATGATGATTTAAAAATCCATAATAAAGCCATCATGGGAAATGAATCATAGTAAGAGTTTAGTGTGACTGGTCTCATGAAGGTGAGTGGGTGGAGGACCACACTAAGTGCTACTGACCTTAACCCAGTTAGATTAGAAAGAAATCAAAAAGGACGAAATAGAGACTTAGTCTGTACCAAAAGAGAGTATTTCAAAAGACAAGGGAAAACTCAAAACTGAATAGACTGTGGAGAAAAGGTAAGAAATAGAAGAGGTGGGGACAGATGTAAAGGGGAGAATCCTACAAAAATCAACACCCACTCTTACTCGGAGGTGTGCATTTGTTCTCTAATATTAAGTAAAGCTTAAAATAGAAAAATTTGAATTATAATGTATGGAGGATTACTCCATTGTGTTGATGAAATATGCAGTTTAGAATTTGGTAATGCGACTTTTCTCTTAGTCTCAAGCCTTGAATGTTGAACAATTTGAAGTCCAGTTTGTAAATGTGGATCCAATTTGCTTTAATGGACAATATGATACCTTGGTAATCAGTTGTATCTATCTGAGTATAATTTTAGTACTATTTATTACTATGGCAGATTTTCCAAGAATCTACAATAAAAAGACTACTCACATTCAATCACTTATTACTTTATCATCTCTCCAGATACTAACCTTGAATTAATTTTATATTAAGCACATATATTCTTAACTCATTATAATACAAACCTCATTAACATTTCATTACACTATCATAGTTATGGATTTAACTATCTCCCTATATTCTCTGGCCTATTCATCATAATTTTTATATATTTGGAGATAAATTATAGATATAACTATGTACTTCCCGCTAAATATTTTGGACTTTGTAATTAGATTTTGATAGTATTTCCCATTTTCCTTCTGACTTGTCAAAGTATGTATTTGGTCTATGTTTGACAAATGCACACATCTGTTTAATTCAAAGTTCTCTCCAGATTCAGAGAATTCCCAGTGGCCAGAAAGTTCCCCTGTGACTATTTAGCCTGTCTTCACTCATATCGTCTTAGACATGATTGTGGGTTTTTATTCTGCAATTACAGTTTTCCATTTTAAAATTTCATGAAAATGGAATTATTCAGAATGTTCTCTCTAATGTGTGTATGTTATATGTGATGTAATATAGATGTAAAATTAATTATGCACTATCTCTTGAATCTCACAAACACCAAGTTCACTTTAAAAAGGTGAGCAATATTAATTGGGAGACCATATTACAGGAATAGCATGCTCTAGAAGTTAGTAGAATTTGGTAGAACTTACATGGGTATGTTCACTTAGTGTGGACATTTTGTCATTACACTCTTTTTCATGCACTATGTATGAATAAAAAGTTTTTAAAATGAAAAAGATAAGCAACTAAAGGTAGATTTGCACAAATTTAAACCCTATTCTATCCTTTAATAATAATAATAATAATAAAACTCACTAAAGATGTCAAATCTTCTTGACTGCTTTGGTCCATTCCTGCTGTTATAACAAAATACCTTAAAATGAATCATTTGCCTGTAAAGTGTTGGGGAGAGGAGGGTGGGCAGGGACCACCCTGAACTGGCTGCCAGTGATATCATGGCGTCCCGGAACCCTCCTGCCCAAGACTATGGAAACGATGATGAATCTTACGAAGTGCTGGATTTAACTGAGTATGCAAGAAGACACCACTGGTGGAATCGAGTATTTGGCCACACTTCGGGATCCATGGTAGAAAAACACTCAGTAGCTACCCAGATTGTAATGGGTGGTGTGACTGGCTGGTGTGCAGGATTTTTATACCAGAAAGTTGGAAAACTTGCAGCAACTGCAGTAGGCGGTGGCTTTCTTCTCCTGCAGATTGCGAGTCACAGTGGCTATGTGCAAATCAACTGGAAGAGAGTTGAAAAAGATGTAAACAAAGTAAAAAGACAAATTAAGAAAAGAACAAATAAAGCAGCACCCGAAATCAACAATGTAATTGAAGAAGCAACAGAATTTATCAAGTAGAACATCGTGATATCCGGTGGCTTTGTGGGAGGCTTTTTGCTAGGCCTTGCCTCTTAAGGACTCGACACGCGCTGTCTTAGTGGCTCCAGCAGTTGAGAAGAGAGCTGGTGGCAGTAGGACGATCTCTCAATGTTTCATGCCCCCAGAGTCTCCAGGGTAACCAACGCCCGGCTGGACAATTGCAAATGCAACAACTTAGCATTCCCCACCTGAAGCTTGACAAGCTACTATCTGCTGTAAGACAACCTATATGGTATGTAAACAATAGTATTCTTGAGCAAACCATGACTTTTGCCATTTTTTAATTTACATTTTTTTCTGAAACTAGCCTATGAATATACTCATTGGATATTTGGAGACAGAAAAAAGCTATTATGTGTGTTGTCCAATTAAATATTACCCTGTCTTATTTTAAAAGTTCTTTGTGCCTTACTGCATAGTGCCAATAATGTAAAAAAAAAAAAAGTCTTACAGCTTCAATATTATGGCTGACTTTTTAAATAATGTGTGTGCAATAAACTGAAGAATTGTATTACCCCTTTGTGGAAGACTTTAGATTAAACTCTTCAGATGTATCAATCATTTTTCCCTCCTGTTCCTATTTTTGCTCATGTAGTGTCTTTTACATTAAAGACTTTTGTAAGGAAAGACTACATGCCCAAAACACTTTTTCCTTCTCTAATGTCTATAGCTATTAAAATGTTTCTTTGTGCTGGGTGTTGGTGGCGCATGCCTTTAATCCCAACACTCGGGAGGCAAAGGCAGGAGGATCTCTGTGAGTTTGAAGCCAGCCTCCTCTCCAGAATGAGTGCCAGGATAGGCTCTAAAGCTACACAGAGAAACCCTGTCTAGAAAAACCAAAAAAAATTAAATAAATAAATAAATAAAATGTTTCTTTGTATGTTCTAAAAACTGAATCATTTATAAGCTATAAAATTATTTGTCCTGATTTTAAAGCTGGGACAACTAAGATATCCAAGATCAGGGCACTAAAAGGTTGTGTGTCTAGCAAGGGCTAGAGTTACAGGCTCTTGGC